ATAGCTTTGACAATAAGGAAGACATTGCATTGTGATTTTGATGAATATAGCTTCATTAAGTAATGGCAGGAGGAGTCTTGCTGTGTTCATTGAGTAAAAAGGGCAGTGGATACAAAAGGTACACAATTTTAAGAGGCAAAGAAGAAAGACCTGGAGCAGAAACTAGATCCAGTTGAAAGTGTTATGAATGGCATGTGAGAGGCCACTCAGACACAGGCTTTATGAGAAAAAGCTTTATTTCTGTCTAGGTGCAAGCAGGGACTGAAATCAGGGGCAGATTTCAACAGCTACTGGGAAGAGCCAAATTTTATTTTATCCATGTGTGGATGGGCTGACATGGAGATAAAGATGTCAGCAGCTAGCTGGGAGAGAAAACTAAGTTTATATAGGGTTTGGGAAGGGGCTATGATCATAAGAAAGGTTTATGACTGAGGGTCTAAAGACAGTCAGTGCAAGTGTGCAGTCACTGGATTTCTCAGTGCCCGGGAGGTTATATACTCAGTCCTAAATTGTCTCTTTATGGCCATCTGTCCTAGTAACCTGTTGTTTGCAGAGAACAGCATGTTTGCTGTGGCGGTCTCATTCAGGTCAGGCATGACAGAAAGAAACACTTTGTGCTTGTGATTTTCATTTGCTGATGTTAAGATGGAGAAATTGCATGCATGATTAAATGTGGGAAGTAGCCAAAAACAGAAAGGATGAAAAGCCAGGAGAGGTTACCTCGCCCAGAGGGATGGGTGTGGAGGTGGAGTGTGTTGGTGATGGTGGTGACTAAGAAAAACTCATGGCTATTTTTGTGGTAATCAAAGGAGGAAGTAATTGTGAGTCAGGTATAGTACAGTTAGATTTATGTTAGGTGGGGTTGTGATGTAGGCCAGTGTGTGTTTTGTGTGTGAGGAAAAAAAAAACTCAGAGACTTAATTTGATTTAGACAATTAGTGTTCAATTTATTAAGATTACAAATTCAAAAACTTGATTCTTCCTTGGGTTTTATGTTCCTCTCACAAATCTTACTCTATTTAGAAATCTAGCAAAATTGAATTTTCTAGGGCCTTATGATTAATATTTGGTCCCTTTTACAACTTAAATGCATTCAAATATTTTAAACAACATTTAAAAGTGATAAATTCTATTTCCATTTTAAGTACCTCATTTATCTGCTTATACAAAACCTTCTGACTACTTAATAAGTGTTATAAAGCTATTAAATTTATAGAGTAGGCTTAAAGTCTTCTTAAATGTTATAATAGTATGTATAAACCTAGGAAGAGTTTAGCTTAAACTCAAAAGTCTAATAATTCAATTATATATTTCAATTGGTTTTCAAAACCTGTCACTCTAATAGGTCAAAGTCCATAAATATTAATAGGACAGAAACCAAATACGCACAAAAATATTAATTAAATGGCTTTTATGCTTTAAACCTTTCTATATTTAATCTTTAAATCTTCCTTATAGTTGAGTGATGTACAGTCACCAAGGAAGAAAATTACTTGGAAATAACTGAGGCTATTTTTAGCCAGATAGTTGGGTAGAGCTGCAGGCGTCCAGGGCAATTGACATCCTCCCCACTGTTATACTGAGCCCCTTTTTAGAATAGCAATGTCAGGAGTTACAAAACTTAAAAAAGGTTTGGTCTCATAGGTCCTATTGCCCACATCCCTGGGTACAAGATACACACAGTACCTGATTCCTCATCTACTATGAAAGAGGACAACAGATTTATAGGTATACATATGTTCCATGTAAGCATTAAAGGCCTTTGAATTTGACAGAATTGTGAGATTTGTAATTTTTTATATTTATGCCATTGAACTTGAAAGCCTAAAATAAATAAAATATTATTTTGCTAGGGATCAAACTCAAGTGCATGGTAGGCAAGCACTCTACCACTGAACAAAAACCCCCAGGCCTAGTAAATGTATTTTCTATTTAATGATAAAGACCTTTAAATGGGATACTTGCTTTGTAAATATCTTTTCTATTTGAAGAACTTTGAATTTGACAGAATCCCACATTCTTTCATATCCATAGGACCGCTCACTGGTTACAGACATTCACATGATCTCTAAGTGACTTGGATATCCTTGATTAATCTGTCTGATTTACTGTTACAATATGGTTTCATTCCTCTGAGAGTGTATAGGGAGGAAGAAGGAGGTTGAGACAGTTTTCATCTGATGGCTTCCATTTTCTCTGTACTTTCAAACATGAAGTTATCTGTTAAAAGAAGGTGAGTTACATGGGAGATGAGAAAAGAAGCTTTAAAATAGATTTGATAGTGGGAGATTTGAGTTGATCTATGTTGCCTATTGTATAGTCTCAAAAGTATGTGACATTATGTCCATTTAAAGTGGAAACTATTCATGATGACATATATTTATAATTTATATTTAATATTTAGTTTATATGTTTTTATATTCAGTGTATTCATTGAGTTCCTTGAATATTTGCCATTGATAACAAATATTCTTTGTAGCTGATCAAATCTGAGCACAGTGTCAAAGAACTTCATTAATAAAGCAGTTGGAGGAGTCATTTATTATCCAGCAAAAAGTTCTAGACTCATTTAACATTTATTTCTATTTGCTACTCAATTACCAGCTGTCAGAGCGTATTAAGTACTTTTAATTTGAGTTAGAGGCCGTCACCCCTAAGTGTATTAACTCTGCCTAATCATAGATAGCAATTTGTCCCTTGAAAGAATGATATTAATCATCAGCTTACATCTGTCTTCATGATAGTACAAAACTGCCACTGGGTCCCATTGCTGAAGTGACATAAATCATTGTAGACACCAAAAATGAAAGCTGACAGTCATGAGTCATGAGTGGCTTGATTCATGTTAACAAGCTTCTCCCTGTTTCCAGATCGAGGAGAAAATGACAACTTTGAAAACGTTTTGCTTCTTAGTCTTAAAAATGTAATTTCTTATTACTATTACTAACTAGCTAACATTCATGGAGTATATATGATATGCTAGGCATCATGCTCACAACTTTATATGAATTGTTTATTTTCATTTTCCCAATACCTGCGAAGTTGTTGGTTATTGTCATTCTTATACTACCATAGCTTGCATTTTGCATTGCAGGATTAAGAGAACTGTAGTAACTTATTACCCAAAATGACTCAAACCCAGGCAGTTGAATGTCATAACATTTTCTCTTCACCATTGGTCCTCACTGATAGAATGGTGTCTAGTTTTCACTAGGTTCATCAGTTAGGAATGCATTTGGTTGCGAGTAACTAAAATCCAACATATAGTGGTTTACAAAATAGCAACTTGGTTTTTCTCACTTAATAAGATGGAGATATAAATAGCTACTCACTTTGTTTTAGTACTTTAGCAGTGCCAGAACCAGCAACTCTAGTTCCTTGGACTTTCCCTAATGGCAGCAAAAACAGCTGCTTCAATCCCAAGAATCACGCCTGCACTCAGGACAGGAGGGAGGGAGGGCAAAGAGTTGGCACTAGCTACGACAGTGTAATTTATCAGGAAAACAAAAATGTTCCCATTTGTATGTTTGTGGGTACAAAACTATTTCACATGATTCCCCCTTACCTACAGGGGTAGAAGACAGAAGCAGAAGGGAGTTGAGGATGGATGATGCACCAGCCTTGGGCTAAAGGTGTGGAATTTATAAGCCGTGTAGGAATTTTCCCACATCTGCTTTAACTTCTTTCTTTCTTGCTTTGAGTGGAAAGCTGTGGTTATCTGTATAGTTAACCCCTAGGGTATTTATTCATGTCCTGTTTTTTAGAATATGTTCCCAGATAGTAAGAGAAAGCTGCGGTTCCATTAATGAAGTCAGGAATCACTGATTGCAAGTAGCAACTAAAGGACACTGACTGAGAAAATAGATGGATTTCAGCACTGTCCACCAAATATTAAGTTATATTCCAGACACTCTTCTAGGCTCTGGCTATACACTAGTAAACAAAACTTTTGCTTTATTTTTGTTTCTGTTTCTGTTTCTATTTTCTGAGACAGGGTCTTGGTATGTAGTTCAGACTGGTCTTGAATTCATAATGTAGCCCAGGCTGGCCTCGGACTCACCATCCTCCTGCCTCAACATCCTGAGAGGTTGGATTATATGCATGTGCCACCACGCCCAGCAGTGATCAAAACATTTTTTTTTTAAGAGTGAGGAAAAATAAGAGGGAATCTCACAGAACCTAAACGTAAGAGTGCAGCAGGGCCTCGGGAGGGATAGAAACCAATGGCAGAGAAGCTCTCTGAAATCCCGAAAGCCCCTCTGAGCATATCCCTTTCACTCTCCTCACTCTGCTTTCTCTTCTGTCCCTGGGCACTGTACGAGGTTGGGTCAGGCCACAGAGGCTGACTTGGCATCTTCTATTCCAGCAAGTGGCTAGCGATGAGGCAGTCTCCAGTACTGATTCCAAACACGTAGGCAAGAGAATTTGAATCCACTGAGGATAGAGACAATCTACCTCTTCTTGTGAGGGATGGAGTTACAGGGTCACCTGAGTGGAGAGATGACGTCTTGCATGGGAAGACATCTTCCTCACAAAGCTTCCTGTGGCTGCCTTCCCCCGCCAGGCTGTTGGTGCCTCTGTAGCTGCTCAGCCCACCACCCCAGATGTGTGAAGGTTAACTCTCCCTTGAAGAACACATTTGTTCAGCTCTGTGAGAGTTGCTGGTGTCAAGGTTGCTCTGAATGTTTCCAAATCATTTTCGTGTTGATATTTATATCTTTCCCCCACATGACCCTGCCTGTCAGATAAAGGGAAAAGTAAGGCTCCCTTCTCACTAGAGACCCAGCCCTCAGAGCCAGCACCTCCATTAATCAATTCAGTTCCAAAGTACACATTGTAATGCAGGTCAAGGTATTCTTTCATTACCCACTTAAGCTGTAAACCAGTGAGATATAGCTGTTGTTGATGTTTTTTAACCTTCTCTTTGTTTCAAACCAGTGCATGTTTTTCCATTCAGGGATAAGCTGAATTGCTGACATGCTGCTAATGTTTCTCCACAGGCTGTGGATTCCCCTCCACGGGAAGGAGGATGGGCCGGCTGGGGCTCATGGGGCAAATCTCTGCTGTCATCTGCATCTGCCACCGTGGGTAAGCATGAACTCTTGTGTTGGAACAAAGTTCAGAAGCCTGATGGGATATGACATTTTGATTGTACCATATAGTGGTGGAGTTCAACATTAGCCCGTAAGAAAACCATTTTTAGTGTTTTCTCTTCTAAGTGTTTCATGTGTATTAATGGATTTGTTCCTCAAAATAACACTCTAAAGAGGTAGTCTTGTTTTCTCCATTTCACAGAGAGTAAGCTGAATCATAAAAATACTAAGACCTTGTCCAAAGTCAAGAATGTCTAGGTTGGAAATAATAAGAGAATAATAATTGTTAATATACTATGTATCATGATGTCATAAGAATGGCTGAGATGTTACTGAGAGTACAGGTCATAAAAAGAGTCTCTCTTACAAAGAAGAAACAAACAAAAGGACAAAACTTGTTTTTCCAATGAACAAAAGAACTATAAAATATTAGGCCTCCAAAATAAAACACAATCAAAAAATGAACTGAAATGAATAGACACTTCTCAGAAAAAGACGTAGAAATGGCCAATAAACACACTAAAAACTGTTCAGCATCACTGGCCATTAGAGAAATGCAAATTAACTACATTGAGATACCATCTTACCCCAGAAAGAATGGCCATCATCAAAAATAATCAAATAATAACAAATCCTGATGAGGATGTGGGAAAAGGAACTCTTCTACATTGTTAGTGGGAATGTAAACTAGTACAATGACTTAACCACTATATTTTATTTTTTTTTAACTTGTAAGAGTTGAGCTTTTATAATACATTCTTACAGCTTTGAAATTATCATCCCAGTTGTGTATTTTTAAGTGTACAACTTACTTCTTGAACAAATTTGAGGTATCTTGATAAAAATCATTTCATCAGCCATACATTAAAATACAAATAAATCAAAATATGCAAGTGGAACAAATATATATTATAAATATCCCAAGGCTAATAGAATTATGGTAATTGAGCACTGACCTGAACTCTGAGCTTCCTGGCTACCAATACATTATTTATTTATCATTGAATGATGAAATTTAATTTATCTAAACAAATCTATTTTCTGGTCTTTAAGTTTTCAAGAATTTCCTTGTATTTGTTCTTATTCAAAGAGCAAGTATAATGGCCAATATCTTTATCAGTGCAGATTTGTCAAGGTCACTCTTCCCATTACCTTTTTTTTTCTTTTCTTTTTTTCTTTCTGTTTTTCTTTTCTTTTTCTTCGGTACTTGGGATGAAACCCAGGGCATCATTCATGCTAGGCAAGTGCTCCACCACTGAGCTGTGTCCCCAGCTCTCCTGTTATAGGCACTCTTCATAAAACTAAAGATGCAGTATCAACAAGTGTAACATAATTTAGCAAAGGCATTTCATCTTGAAGGTGGAAGGTTAAGAGAAAGACAGGGAAGCCCTAGTGATGAGGCTTTCAGACCACCTACCTTAGGTATTCTTAAGGTACAACCCATGGCCATGAGGAGCTTGTGATGAGCCATGGATCAGTCCAGTTCATGGTTGCTCCTAAAACCAGGAGGGCAAGAAGGCGTTGAGATCTTCTGCTTCTGCCTCACCCCAGGGGACCACAGTCACAAGAATTTCAGGACCAGATCTCTAACTTGATCTACTAAGACTGCCAAGAAGAATGGATAGATTCTGTTCCCCTAATTACATCACTGTCAAGTGTCAGTTTTCTCAGGTGAGATCTAGCAGGAAGCAAACAGGGCAAAATAAATGTTGCCTCTCTAGTGAGAGCCTGGAAAGCAGATTTTCTCTATTGCTAACTGAAGGGGCTAGGCACCTCTTGGACTCCACATAGGCAGGTGACAAAATTACCCAGATCAAAGTGAAAAGAGCATCTTTTGTTTTCTGAGAATGACTCACAGGGTGCAGGCTGGCACCTGTGGACCTGCTCCTCCCTTGGAAAAATGTTTGCACTTTTATTGTCCTTCAAAATAGGAGTGACTTGCTTTCAGAACCAAAAACTAAAAATAAGGAATCTTTAAAAATTAGGATAATTCAAGATAAATAATATGCTCACCAAAATTATACAGCTCTCTTCATGGTTTTTTATCATAAAGCAGAAAATGTCCTGGATGTTTCCAGTTATAATGATATCCCAAACCACTCTGTTTTATAATGACTTTGGTGCTTCCAAAGGTTCTGTTAGAGCTGGAGGATTTACTTTCTCACTAAATTTTAAATGTAAGTTTCCCCCACAGCAAGTGGAGGAATCATCTGCCCTGTGGGTAGCAGTTGCAGGTGTGGTGCTCACTGTGCATTCTTAAAGGTAAATCTGCCCGTAACAGCTCTAGACCTAACTGCTCACACCATTTGCCATTTCTTCTTATCAGTCAGCAGCTGCACTTATTCATTGGCTCTGGGCTTTGCTGCACCTTTATAAGATTTCCCATCTGTAGACGGTTGAATTGCTTACCAGCTTCTATTGTAATCTGACCCTGGCACTGGTGCAGCCTTGGTGAAGGTGGACCTTGTTCCAAGGCCCTGGATTCTGTTACCTGGTTCAGACACAACTGATAGATGATGTTGACTTTGCTGCATGAAGAGCAGGATGGGATTTATGGCAAATCCTGCTCCCTACTGACAGGCACCTTGGGCTTGATCTGAAGTCACTGTCTTCATTTGCAGCCTGGGCTTGTGTTTGGTTTTCTCCTGAAGTTTCCCTATGTCTGAGGCACCATGAAGTTGATTAAGTACTAAATCTGGGCACTATTACAACCACTTTAAAACTCTGACTCTGTGTAGTACTTGATCCAGACAAGGGTAAAGGGTCCACTGCTCAATGGCCAGCAGGATCATAGCACCAGTCACCATGCCATGTTCCTACTTGTGAATGGTTAAGATGAAGTTTCTCTGAGATTTCCTGACATTTTCACATCACCCCATAAAATATCAGAATAAAATTCAGTTACTTTCATATTAGTTTCTATTGCTATTAAGAAATCACCACAAATGTAGAGGCTTAAAACAACAAACACTTATTATTTTACAGTTTCCTTGGGCCAAGAGTTCAGGTAGGGTAGCTGCTTCCTGTGTGGGCTGAAGTCAAGATGTCACCAGCGGTCTACTTATCTAATGTTCACCATGCGCTGAGGCAACATGGCAGCTTGACCTTGGCAGATGGGGTAGTACAATTAGGAGGGTCCCACACAGAGGATGAGGCCAGGAGCTGTGCTCAGCTGCCACCTCTGCTTTGATGGAGTCATCTTTCAGGGTTATTCAGATTTTGGCAGAACTCAATTCCTTTACAGAACTGAGGTCCACATTCACTTGCTGGTCATTAGCCAAGGGTCACTCTCAGCTCCTAGGGCTACCCTAGGTTCTTCTGCAAAGCCAGGGCATAATCTTCCCGATGCTTCAAATCTCTATCCCTGGCCAGGCATGGTGGTGCACATCTGTATTCCCAACACTTGGGAGGCCGAAGCAGGAGGACTACTGCAAGTTCAAGGCCAGCCTGTGCTACATAATGAATTCAAGGCCAGTCTGAACTACATAGCAAGACTCTGTGTCAAAAAAACCAAAACAAAACAAAAACATCTCTACCTTTAGGTAGCAGTCACTCCTGTTTCTAAACTCACTTGATTAGTTCAGGCCCACCAATATCTCTGTGATTAACTCAACAATTAAGGAACCATGATTACATCTTTAAAAAACCCCTTTGCCTCTACTAGATAATGTGACCTTCACAGGAGTGAAATCCCATCATATCCCCAGTCCTAAATACACCCAAAGAGGAAGGGATTCTATAGAGTATCTGCATCAGGAGATAAGACTGTGAGTGTCATCTTCCAATACATCCTGCCACCTTCTGTTGAAATCCTCATTTGCTGTTGAAGTACCCCAGCATTTAAGAAACTCCATCTTTTATTTGTCTTGGCTATATGCCAGAATTTTGAAAAGGGAGCGAACCTTGGCATTTTTCTCATGTTGGCATCCACTGTGGCAAAGGGTATGTGAGGAAGATCATAGGAATTTTGAAATACACACATTCTAAGACTCTCTTTGGACAAACCTTGAAAAGGCAGGCACTAGAATTGTTCATCACCACTGGTTAATGGATGCAATAGAAAGATAACTGAATACCATATAGTTATAAGTTAATCCTAAAGAAGTAACTTAGTAACTTGAAGATTGCTCATCGAGATGTGCTGTGACTGTACATAGTAATAGTAGCCAAAATGATAGCTATGGATATTTAAAACTAGATGAGAATCTTTGTAGACCTAAAGCATGAACTGCTTGTGAACCAAGATTGCATTCATGGGTTTCAAGGCAGGACATAGGCAGTAGTGGTTGGAAGTTTGACAGAAAGGTAACAAGGAATCACAGGGGTTGGAATGGGGCTTCACTGTCTGTGAACAGACACTTTCAAAAGTTCTGGGTGCCATCTTGAACAGTGATCTTCATCAAGCTGCTGCCTTGGGATTGGGAGAGGCAAGCTAGACACAGCTTCTTTCCATACAGACATGACATCAATCCCAGGGCTTTACAGAATTAACAGTTTGTTATCCTAGGGCAAAAAAAAATTATTGGAAAACAGAGCACTCACAGCAATAGACAAGCTCTGGAAGGTTTATAGATTGCCTGTGGAAAGTAAAGAAAGAGAATAACCACATGTTCAATTGCAATTGATCTCCACTCAGAAGCCTCATGTTACCCCCAGGGTAATTCCAATTGTAGACAGGGAAGCAAAGCACCCGTAGTCTTTAACAAAACACAGCACTGTCATTGGAGTGCTAGAAGTAGAAGCCAAAACTTCATGCTATTGATGAAAAACTGAATCACAATCATTGGAACTGTTTAGAGTTGGCAGGAGAGTAATTGGAGACCTTTGGAAAGCAGTACTCTTTTGGAACAAGCACTGTACCCTGAGACCTGGTTCTAAGTACTACTAGTTTGTCATCACAAGAGACTCACTGCCTAGCTACACCATGTACCTAACCTCCTTGAGACTCAGAGTTTGTTGTTGTTGTTTAGAAAAGTATAGGTATGGAAACTTGAA